GTCCGGTCTCCTGTCCTCTGCTCTGCCTAGTCCCTACCCGGCCAGCATGGGTGTGCCTCCCCCGGGTGAGGGGTCACTGTCTGAACAGTGGCCCCACCCCAGCAGCGTCACCGCTGCTCCTCCAGGGCCGTCTGTGCCTTCCATCCCTCTCAGAATAGGCACTGACCTCTAGCTGGACCCACAGGGCCCGCAGGGCGGGCTGGTCTGCCACTGCTGGCCTTTCTTGGTGCTGGACAGGCCTCGGTGGCTGGAGCACACACTGTTCCTTCTGCATGCTTGGCAGCCCCGCCTGCCCTGCCCCTTCTGTCAACCCTGGCCCGGCTCAGGGGCCTCTGTCCCAGAACCCCCAGCCCCCAAGACCCCAGTGTCTGATAGCCTCAGACTTTGAGGGCTTCTGCTCTTGCTTCCTCCAGCGGCAGCACTCGGTCAGCGCACAAAGAGCGTTTGCAGAACGGCGGAGAGAACCCATCCCACTACCCTCTGCAGCATTCACAGCCTGGACCGCAGGGCTCCCAAAAGCCACAGCCCCTTGCCACACCTGCAGGCCTGCCTGCATCCCACCCAAGCTGGCTCCCGGCATCTCCCTCTTCCACCTGGTTCTGGGTCTGGGTCTGGGTGTCCCCAGGGCCAGGGATGGGCCCAGGGAGGTGGGCTCTGGTGGACTGGGGTCCTGACTGCTCAGAGCCACCGCTGGTGGGAAAGCTGGTGCCTGGTAGGTGCTGAAGGTGCTTCGTGGGAGAGAAGGGGGGACCCACTGGACTCACACCCCAGTGCCTGGGCCATGGCCAGGCGCAGGCCAGGCACTGCCCCCTGGCTCCTAGCCGAGGCTGGTGGGGCTCTGGGGCCACCGAGGTGGGGGCCGTGAAGCAAGGACTAAGGAAGAAGGCAGGAGTGCGACCCGCAGGCTCGGAGACCTGGGCTCCCAGGCAGGTGGAGAAGATGCAGAGGGCCTGGGGCCGTGGCCGGCAGGAAGGTGCTTCCCCCAGGCCATCAGGGGACCCCTCAGGGCTGGCCCTTCTTAGGGTCAGAGCAGGTGAAAGCATTAGGTGGCTGGCTGAAGGGACCTGGGAAGGAAGTAGGGCCACCCCCTGCGCAGCGGCCCGGTGGGTGAGGCTGGGTGGGCTCTGGGTGGGGCGGCCGCCTCCAGCCTCCCACTTCTTCAGTCCTCACAGCAGCCATACGAAACGGAGGTCTCGTCCCCATTTTTGCAGATGATGAAACTGATGCTCAGAGCCCACTTAGTGGCTTGTCTGTCCAGGGCCAGGACCCGAGATCTGGGGTCTCCATCTGAGTCTTTTAACTTTAATGCCCACAAGGCCCCTTGCATGCCTTCTGGCTGCCCCTTGGGACCCCCAGGGTCCTCTCAGCAGGTCCACGTCTGCCACACCCGATTTCCCGAGGAGTCCCTGCCTCCTGCAGCCCAGCAGCCTTCCTCCCCAGGCACATGCCCCGAGCTCGGCCTCCCGCAACCTCTGGCTCCCACTGGCTTGGCCTTGGCAAGTGTGGGAGGGCCGCGGGGCGAGGAGGGGCCTCCAGGGCTTGGCTTCCCTTCCCGCTCCCGTCCAACAGTGTCCGTGTGGCCAGCCAGCCTGCCTCCGGCCAAGTTGGCGAGGAAGACTTTCCCCCACTCAGCGGCCCTCTGAGGGCATCTGGCCACTGCTGGTGCATGGCCCGCGGGCCCCGACTCACCGGCGCCGAGCAGGGCCCCCCCGCAGGAGAGCAGCAGGGGCAGCAGCCAGGGCCCCAGCATGGTGCGTGGAGAAGAGGTCGCGGCCAGCCCCGGCCCCTCTTGCCGTGGGACACCGGGCAGGCTCCCTGCACCTGTGCAGCCTGAGTGGCCAGCCCTGGATGCCTTATACAGGGCCTGGGCCCTGCCCCTGCCACGCCCGCCGGCACCCCGCGCGCAAGGCCAGCAATGGCCACGGCGGCCAGGCGGCCAAACAGGATCTTGGGTGCCGCTTTATCAGGACTTGGCTTCTCTGGAAAATTCTTCAGCGGGCAGAGGCCCCATTATCATCACTCCCCTCTGAGCAGGGGTCCTGCAAACATTTCCGGCGTTTGCTCCAGGCTGAGGTTGCCAGGGGTCTTCCTGGGCTCAGGCTAGGGGTCAGCACGGACACTCTAAGCCACACCCTGGGGGCCGTGAGGGGCCTTGTCCCGGAGACGCCGGGCACCCGCTCTAGGGTGCCGCCCGGACAGCTCCTGGGGTCCTGCATTCCCACCCGGACCCTGCATCCGTGAGAGTCACCGGCACGCTGGGGCCCACCCCCGCCCTGGGGGGAAGGCCACTCAGCGGCAGGACCCTCCGGAGGTAAAGCCGCTTCAGACCGCCCTTCAGGGTGGGGTCCCAGGTGGGAGGCGATCACAAACAGGCCGCTGGCCTTGGGGGCGCCATCCGAGGGGCATCTCTGTGGGGTCTGTGTGCCGTCCTCAGGGTTTCCGACCCCTCAGGCAGAGAAGGGGCTGGCCCACAACCCCTGGGAGAAGGACGTGGCTCCTGGGGTGGGGGGGCATGTCGGGGAGCAGAGAGCGTGTGGGGCCTGTAGGCACTTGTCCCCTGAAAGGTTGTCTGCCGGCACTGTGAGGGAATAGGGTGAGGGTCACGATCGGGGGTTATGACTGGGGTCAGGGTCAAGGCAAGGAGAGGGCTGGGGACGGCAGTGTTTGGGAGCCTCCATGGGACCCACTCGCAGTCCGAGAGGAGGAGTGGGCGTGACCTCTCCAGGGCAGTCCTGCCCTGAGCGGGAGTGCAGGCCCCTGTGTCCCCCTTCACGAGGGCAGTTCTGCCCCATGGAGACTTGGGGCGCGAGGGCCCTGGGCTCCCTCCATAGAGAATCTGTGTCTGGGCCCCGAGGGCCCCTGGCGTCCCTGGGCCCCGACCTCCCACACCTCACAGACCGCCCAGCTCTGCTTGGCCTGGCAGGGGGCTACCTGCTCCTGGCCCTGGTGGCCTGGCCGGCCCAGCCGCACAAAGCAGTAGATGCTGTGTGTTTACCTTACATAAACTTTAGTTTTAACAGAAGTTGTTTTAACAGGAAACCACTCTGAGCTGCTGGCCTGCGGGAGCCTGGCCCGGGGGGCAGGGGGACGGTCCTGGCTGCTCTCAGGGCCCCTGTCTCAGTCATTTCCCCCTGATGCTCTCAAAGCCCTGTTTGAAGGGGAGTCCGCGCCTCGGAGTGCGCCCGGCTGGGCAGGGCTGACTAAAGGGCACCCCCACTCTGGAGCCTCCCCGGCTGGTGGGGTCCCTGCAAGAGGGACCGTGCCCAAAGGGGCCTGTGGCCTGGGCGCACAGGTGGTGGGCTTCATGCGACCATCTTTGCTGCGGGGCCTCCATGGGGGCTCTCCCTGCCCTCGGGGAGTCCCCACTTTCAGGGGGGCTCATGACACGTCAAGTGTAGGGCCAGGGTAGGCTGATGAGTAGGGGCTGGGGTCTCTGAGGGGCAAGAGTGAGCCGTTCCCTCTGGCTTCAGTCCCAGCCAGGGCTCCGGGAGGGTGAGGGCAGCCAGACGTGGGACACAGGGAGGTGACCCACTGGGCCTTGGGACCAGCAGCTCAGCAGAGGCTCTGAGGGACCGCTTGGGCCATATCCCACCAGATAAAGCCACTCCCGGGGCCTGGGCACAGCCCAAGGTGGGCAGTGTGAGTGTGGGCTGGGGTGGGGCTGACCTCTGGATACGTCAGGGGACGGGTGGAGCGAGGTATGGTCATGGGACACTCCTGGGTCACTAACTTACAGGGACTGGGGAGGGGGCTGGGGCTTGTGGCAGGCAGGGGGTCCCCTCGCTGGGGTCTAGTGTCACCCCCATCAGCTAGAGGGATACAGATGTGGCCCTGGCAGGGGCTAGATGTCACCCAGACTGCAGTGGGGTGGCTCACAGGGCCTGGACCGCAGCAGCCTGTGTGTATGTGTGACCCAATTTGAGTTTCCTGGAAAAACCGTGCTGTGCACGCCAGGATCTGTCACTGCAGGCAGCTCTGGCCTTCTGGTGTTGCTGGTGCCCGGGGCCTGCCCCATCCCGGGAGGCCCCGCCACCCTTTCTCCAGGCTGCTTTGTCAGGAAGTCGCAGTGCATGGCGTTTCTGCTGCTGAATGCGTGCGGGGAGCAAACAGCGGGTGATGAGGCCGCGCTGCCTTTGGCCCCACAGGCTGGGTGGGAAGGGCTGGTCTCACTGGCCGGCCTGGGGTGCTGAGCCCGGACAAGCGGGAGATTGCCCTGCCTCACCTTCCGTTTGCGTGGCCACCTGAGTGGTGCCAGGCACCCCGGGGCTCAGGTTGGCCGTGAGGCTGGGAGCCCGAATGGACCTGAGGACTTGAGGCCTGTCCTGGGCTGACTGCCAGCCCCAGAACCCAGTGTCCAGGGAATGGGGCCTGCACACCGTTTCCAGCGTCCTGGCTCAGTTGGGAGGGTGGTTGCTGTCCGCCAGGCCCTGACTCCCTGGGCAACCCCGACCTAACTTTTGCCTGCGGCCGAGGGCCTGCATGAGGAGGTCACAGCCGGCAGGTGCTCCCAGCAGCTCCCAAAGGGGCTTGGGGCCGGCTCCCCTCTGGGCCCCATCTGCCTGGTGTGGCATCCCTGGGGGAAGGCAGGAGGCCTTCACCCCCCAAGGCTTGGCCCCACTAATCCCTCAGGTCAAAGGACTGAGAACTGTGGCTCGGGGCCCACTTGGGAGGTTCTTCAGCCTGGGAGGGGAACCAGCCTCTGTGCTGCCCAGGCTGGTGCCCTCGCCAAGGCGGACAGTGGGCCAGGAGGCGTTTGGGAGCTGTAACTGGCCAGTGTGGGGATGGCGGGTGCTCTGTTGCAAAGCCAGCAGTGACTTCCTGCAAGTCCGGGCACAAGGCTGGGACTGGCCTGGACCCCCGGTGTTGAGAGTGGGGCTGAAGGGTGGCCCAGGCTGACTCTGTGCCATGTGCGAGGGGAGTTGTGAGGCCGAGAGTGGCCTGTGCTCCGGGCCCCAGCCCTCTGCTGCTTGGTCTGAGAGCTGGACCCAACCCTCGAGCACCAGGAGCTTGGGGAAGTGGGGCAGATCAGGAGACCCTGGGGCCAGAATAGCTGGAGCAAAGATCTCTGAGGGCCTCAGGCCTGGGGGTGAGAGTCACCCACCCAGCCCCGCCCCACTCCTGCCCCAACATCCTACCTGTGGCTGGTGGCAGCCCCGGGCTGGGCTGCTCTGCTGGCGTCCCAGCAGGCTCCCCTCCTTCCTCCTCTCCCTCCCTCCCCACTGTCATACTTGACCCCCGTCACCTGCAGCCCCTTCTCTCTGGAAACATCCCTCCCCGTGAGCTGCAGGCCCCCTGGCTGAGAGGGCCCCGGGCTCCCCCAGCACATCCCAGCTGCCTCGACCACTTTCTCAGGCCTTCTGTGCACTCCAGGACAACTCCTGATTCTTGCTGGCCCCTCCAGACCCCCAGCCCCGTCCTGAGCTGCTGGGAGCCACCCTGTCGAGGGCAACAATGCAGCCAGTGAGCCAGGGCCACAGGTGAGGGCCCGAGGCCGTGACGGGGCAGCCAGGGAGGGTGCTGTACAGGGCTGGGGCAGGCATTCCTCCTAGGGTCCCAGGACCTCCCAGCTGGCCCCGTGGTCCTACCCTTGGGCCCCGGCTCTTCCTGCAAAACTTGGCCTGGATTTGGGTGGGGGTGTGCCCTCTATCCTCCAGACTCGGGCCCCTGCAGGGCAGCCCCAGCGCTGACTACTGCCCTCAGCCCCAGATGTCTGCGGCTGCAGGAGGGGCTGAGGCATGAGGCTGGCTCTCAGTTTGGGGCAGGTTAGTGAGCCCCCAGGGAAAGCCACGCCCAGGCGTCCAGCTGCCCCAGGCTTGGGGGTACTGCATTCCTGAGCAGGCTGGTGTGCTCATGGCCTGCCCGCTCTCCAGCCGGGCCCGCCGTCCTTTGTGTTCATTTTGGCTGCCTGGCCCTTTGCAGGGGCCTGACGGGAGGACCAGGGGGCGGAGGGGCAGGCTGAGCCAAGGTGGGCTGGACACCCACCTGCCGACCAGGCAGTTCCAGCAGGTTGGAGGCCTGGCACCACCTCTCCCCAGGGGGAGCTTAGCCTGGGTGGGGGAGACTGTCCCCAGAGGGGCTCGCTTGGCCCACATCCTGTCCCCTCCCCTCCCCTCCCCTGCACACCAGGGCGTGCTTGGCACTGCCCACCTCGCCCCACCCCTCGACTCCCACCACCGGCTCTGGGTCTGGGCACCTCTGACCCCACAGTGGGCGGAGTCAGAACCTCCGGACTAGCACCCTCTCCCACCCTGTCGGGGGCGGGGGCTGCCCCTCGCCGAGCTTCCCGGCCCCGCGTCACATTTCTTGTGAGCCCGGCTCGGTCCCCTCCCAGCCCAGCGTCCTGGGCCTGGAGGCTCCACCTCCGAGGTGCTGGAGGCGGCGGGTCACGTTTTCAGCTTCC